TGCGGGAAAACACCCAGCGGTACGCCCTCGACGACCCGGCCGCCCCTTCGCAGGAAAACCTCCCGCCTTACACCGTCCGCGCCGAGAGCGAGTTCGGCATCGACATCAAGACGTGCGAGACGGACTCCAAGGCCACCACGCACGAGTACATCCGCGACCACCACTTCACCAACCCCGCCGGCTCCTTCTTCCAGAACAACAACTCCATCCTCCCCATCTTCACAGACTACATCAAGCAGCACGTCCTGCCCCCCGCCTCGCCCTCGTCCTCATCTTCATCTTCATCTTCATCTCCATCATCGGAAATCAAGTACCTCATCGACGCCTACTCCGGCTCCGGCCTCTTCACAATCACCCTGGCCTCCGTCTTCCAGCACTCCACGGGCATCGACATCGCCGCCGACTCCATCGCCTCCGCCCGCCAAAACGCCGCCCTCAACGGCCTCGGCGAGGACCGCTGCCGCTTCATCGCCGCCGACGCCGGCGAGCTCTTCAAGAGCGTCGAGTACGACCCCGACCAGACCACCGTCATCCTCGACCCCCCGCGCAAGGGCTGCGACGCCGACTTCCTCGGCCAGCTGCGCCGCTTCGGGCCCAGGAGGGTCGTCTACGTCAGCTGCAACGTGCATACGCAGGCGCGCGACGTCGGCGTCTTGGTCAGGGGCGAAGGGGAGGGCAGGCGATATGAGATTGAGAGCTTGAGGGGTTTCGATTTCTTTCCTCAGACGGGGCACGTTGAGGGCGTCGCCGTGCTGAACAGGGTGGATAGTTAGCAGGATATATAGGGAGAGCGAATGATATAGACTTGGTGTTGTCGATTGACTTGTTCGTCTCTGTCTAGGCTATATGATGCATACTGCTCCATCAAGCATGTGAAAGCTAGGACAAGGGAAGAGAGACTGAAGCGAAAAGCGAAGCAAGAGCTTGCCGCGAGTTTTCAACGCTGCTAAGAATGCCTTCATACCATGGTGACCGTACAGCAAACATGAAGCGTCCCACGAGGTCGCCAGGAGGTAAACACAAGGGATGGAAGGTTGGAAACCCTCCCCCAGTGGCCTTACTCCTGTCCCAGAATCGCCTTCAGGGTCTCAACCGTTAGCTGCAATACCTCCGGCCTGCGGCTCATCTTCAGAGACTCCTTCAGCGCATCGACGCCACCTGCCTCCTTGACCTTTTCCCTCGCTAGCTGGCACACCTCCACATCTCCGGCCACCATGTTGTACAGCGAAACAACGCCTCTGTGGCGCAATCCCTCGTCCTTATCCGTGCACATGCCCAGGAGCACCTTGATGCCTCCTTCTCTCTCCAGCACCAGTTTCGCAACGCCCTCGTAGCCCGTGAGAGAAGCCAGAGCGCCGCCCGCCGCGCTGCGCGTGCCATCGTCTTCGGCGTCTGCCAATGCGAGGAGGATGTGGATGCGGTTCTTGGCTTGCGGGTTACCGTCCGCATAAAGCGCTATGCCTTCTGGTGCCTGCATCAGGTTACACACCAGCTCGACAGCTGCTTGGGACACGCGATCATTGGAAGACAGCATCTGCTCCTCGATCTGGCCCCACGCGATGCTTATAATAGAACGAGGAATGTCTGGGTCATTCATCGAGGCCAGGTTGGTAAGTGCCATGAGGGCCTCAAAGGTCGGAAGCAAGTCTCGTCGGTCAGCCGCGGGGTCAGGGGGGAGAATCGAAGCCAGGGGGCGGATGGCAGCATTGACTGGATTTGAACGATTGCCACCAAAGACGAGGTTAGGATCAGTGCTGATGAGGATGCGAGCGAGTGCTTGGGCCGCCATGTTGCGACCAGTCATTTCGGTTTCCGGGAGAGTTGCCCACGCCGTCAGCAGCAGCTTGACGGCCCCCTGCTGAGCCAGCGGGCCACGGAGGGCTTTCGTCATGGCAAACGAGTGGATGATGGATACAATGATGGAGAGTGACCTTGTGGATCCGTTCTTGCTGTGCGTGACAAGTATGGGCGTGAGGCCGGCTTCAAAAACGGCCTTGCACCTCTTGGTGACATGGTCGTCATCGTCCAGCTCGTCCGGCGGAGCCAGCTTGCCGGCTGCGTCCGCGTAAGCCTTGAGTTGCGACATCTTCTTCTCCTCTTCAGTGAGAGAGGGTCGATATCGAGTCAAGTTGAGAAAGATGCTGAGAAGCCCATAGGTCATTGGAGATCGAGGGGGTGCGTCTTTCAGCGTTGTAACGAGCTTCTTGAGCAGCTCAGGGTTGTTGACGATGGATTCTTTGATCTTTGGTTGTAGAGATGCATACGCAAGGCCTTCTATAGAATGCTGCTTTCCGTGATCCTCGTCACGCAAAATCATCTTTGTAAACATGCCGGATAAATCTTCAATGCTCGTCACCGCCGTCTCAACCCTGGGTTGGTTTGGATCGCTCGTGTTTGGGTTCGACGGCACAGCCTTCATTCTGGGTCAGTCAGCCGTTAACAACTACCGCCAAAAGAGAAAATAAAAAGGGGGTCTTTCAGTCTCTCACCCTGAGTTTGGCCAGAATGACAGCGGCCAAGTGCTGGACCTGTTCGGAATGCTTCCTCATGTTGATGGAGCCGCCCTCGCTGTGGACGTTGGGATCCGCGTTCATACTGCGGACCTCTCCGTCCAGGTCCTGGTCGACCACCTCTTCGAGCCACTCGACGCAGTACTTCTGTATGGCCTCTCGACACGCAGAGTTCATGCACGAAGCGTTGAGCATTTCCAGGCAGGCCGTCTCGACCTTTCGGCTCTTCCACTTCCTCCTCATGAGCGGGCCGAGCGAGACGAGGAAGCCCTCGTTGAGGAAGAGCTCGGCGGCGACATCGGGTATGATGGGGAAGATGGCGGCCGCCACGCAGAATGCCACGATGTAGTCGTCGTATGTACCTCTCTTAACGCGGTCAAAGAAGAAGGCAGACAGCTTCTCACGGCCCTGCTCGCCTGCGGCTCTCAAGTACGCCGAGGTGGTCAGAGTGGCATGGCCCCTGACAACCTCTGGCTGGCGCATGTCGAGATAGCACAGAATGGTGTCGACGCAATCGCTGTCGATGAGCTTGCAGATGGATTCGTGGCTCTTGTTCTTCTCCTGGGCATCGGCGTCGTCGTTGAGCAGCTTGGTCAGCCTGTCGAGGTCTCTGCAGGTCTCCTCATCCTCCTGGCCGCCCTCCATCAGACGCGCAAAGATGAGCAACGTCTGGTCCTCGAGGGACTTGGCCGGCTCCGAGTTGTGCAGAGTCTCGGCCATGATTCGATTCGTGATGCGTGCGTGATGTGGAAGAAAGACTCAGGGTTCGGGCTGCATCGACGGCGTCAAACAAGGGGGATTCTTTCGAAATGAGCGGACGTGTCTGGTAGGTATAGGCTGGCCGCTGCCTTGCCTTTGTACGTCAGTCGGGTGAAGAGGCGTGGGAGATACGCTGAAGCGATGCCGGCTAAGAGGATGGACAGAGGCAGGTGGAAGGAATTGATTCAATAGGACGTCACAGGTAAGAACAATAAGATGGGAAGGAGAGGGTGCTCGGCAGTTACAGTAAGGATAAGAACTTGAAGATATGCGAAGTTGAAAAGGAACAGAAAAGAAGCTTTGATGCCCGTGTCCCACTTTGACGGCAGTGGAAATTCGATGCTTGAGACCCCACCTCCTCTGGCACCCTCTGGCGTCACTGCTGGTGCTAGTCTGTCCTCGAGTCAAGGCGCCTGGAATGCCGTGAATCTGGACAAGTGATAGTACTATCATGGATGTACTACCTGGGTAGGTAGTCAACAACTACCTAAGCAGGTAGGTAGTACAGGTAATACTAGTACCTAGTAGCTGCAGTTGGCCTCGAGCTGTTGGTGTTGATTGCGCTCAAGACAATGGAGGTCAGAAATTGAAGCTGTCAGCTCTCAGGTACCGGATCATTATCAGCCAGGGCGGGCATCACAGTGCTGCTGCTACGCACTCACAGTAGTACCTACTCAGCACATCAACGCCTGCGCTCTGTCAACCAATACCCATGATACTTCGGATCAAGTCTCAGGCTACGTAGCACCCCTTATTTACGTGATAACTGCCAATTACATCTTTCAGTGAAGTTGATGTCGATCAAGACGGTAGCACAGCAAAGACTGAGGTACGGAGTACATACAGGGACTTGCACATGAGGTGTACCTGTCAGTCACGTGCCTTGGCGTTTCTCCACCACCAAGAGCCGTGTCATCCTTGTCGCTCTTTTCTTCCCATCAGCCTTGTCCATGACGGAGCTGCGTCGTGCAGCTGCTAGTCTCGTTCGTTCTCTCGAACTTCTGGCTAGCTAGCGAGGCCACTCCCGCTCATGTCATGTCATGCCATGACCCTCCTCCCTCCTTGATATCCGGCAATGCCTTGTTGAGCTGCAGCTGCTCCGTGTCTTTTCCACTTGTTCTTCGTCTATAGCCTCTCGAGCGGGTAATCACCTTCTCATTGCCATTTTCTCTCGTGCATATCCCCCGGTTTCCACCGATCGAACCATTTCCAACACGACCAGCCTCAAACTCCTCCGCGTCTCTACCACCACGCCAAAGAACCAATCAACCCCCAATCCTCTCCCGCCTCTTTTCCCTTCTCCTCCTCCTCCTCCTCCTCCTCCTCCTCCTCCTCCTCCTCCTAGCCTGACCTCGTAGCTGCCTCCGCAAGTCTTCGTCCCCCTCAATACACGCCATGGATGCCGTCGACGTCTCGGAGCACTACGAGGTCACCGCGGCCGACAACTCTCCCTCCCTCCTCTCCATCGTCCTCGACACAAACCCGCGCGCCTGGGCCGCCCTCGACTCCTCCCTCTCTCTCGCCCAGGCAATCTCCAACATCCTCGTCTTCGTCAACGCCCATCTCGCCTTCAGCAACGCCAACCAGGTCGCCGTCATCGCCGCGCACGTCAACCGCGCCGTCTGGCTGTATCCCGCCCTCCAGCATCCCTCTTCTTCTTCCTCCTCTTCCTCAGCGGCCGCAAAGGACAACTCAGGAGATGTACAGATGCAGGATGTCTCGGCAGAGGCGGCGAATCTCCCGCCGCCGTCAGCAAACAAGTACCCCCAGTTCGCGCAGATCGAATCCTCCGTCTTCTCCTCCATCCAGGCCCTCATGGCCGAGACCACGGTCCAGGACCTCGACCAGTTGACCACGCAGCTCTCCGGCGCCCTGACCCTCGCCCTCTGCCGCATCAACAAGGCTGCCCAGGCCCTCAGCGCGTCCGACACCACGCTCTCCAACGCCGCCCCCGTCAACGCCACCGCTCCTCCGCCCGTCAAGGGCCGCATCGTCGTCATCTCCGTCTCCGACTCCGAACCGTCCCAGTACATTCCCACCATGAACGCCGTCTTCGCCGCGGCGCACAACCAGGTCGCCATCGATACCATTTCTCTCGCCGGCGACTCAACCTTTCTCCAGCAAGCATGCTTCAACACAAACGGCATCTTCCTCAGGGCCGCCAACCCCCGCGGCCTGCTGACCTACCTCATGTTCGGTCTGATCCCCGACACGGAGGCGCGCCAATCCCTCATTACGCCAACCCACGACACTGTCGATTTTCGAACAGCCTGTTTCTGCCACGGCAGGGTCGTCGATACCGGCTATGTTTGCTCCGTCTGTCTCAGCATCTTTTGTTCGCCGCCCGAGAACGCTGAGTGTCTCACGTGCGGGACGGTTCTTGCGCTGGGCAACTACGGCGCTAAGCCCGCCGTCTTGCCTCGGAAAAAGAAGAAGAAGAAGAAGATTGCCAATGGCAGCGGACGAGAGGAGACGGGCAGCGCTACGGGGACGCCGAGACCGTG